CTATATTATAATATTATGAATTGGTACTGCCTCATAGGCATATGTTTTTTGTTCCTCATTATTATACCTATATCATATATATGTAAGATAATACTTTGTTATTACTTTGATATTAAGCTGGTAATAACTTGCTATTTCCATATTAATGACATGTTTCCACCATTAGTACATGACTGTTACCACATTTTTCCATATTATTATTAGTAGAAAGCACAACCAAGATATGTTTAGCTGATGTTTGCTGTGTTTAATTATAAAATCTCACAGTTTACTATATCAAGATTAAATTAAATAACAAAATTCATTGTTAGTCTACAGCAGAATAATCAGGTTTATTAAATAAAGGGCTTACGTGCCCAGCAGTTAGTTTATATCCCTACATACACAATTCTAATATCACTGTTTCTGCCAAATAATTTTTGAGCGTGCTTTCTTTTAATTATATCTTTTAGACAAACTGTTGCTAATATATCTGCAATTCTTTCATTTTGTGTTTCAGACCCATAGTCACACAATTTCACACCACCCAACCAAGTTATACAGGCAAACAGAGTTTCCATCAGCTGCAGTCTAGACACTAGAGACTGCATTCTATCACCAGTCCTGATATGGTGCTATGTTTAACAATGATGCTGCAGGTGCAATCACCTAAATCTTATTATGTGTCTGAATTTGGAAATAGTTAATTCAATCATGCAGTCCTTCCAAGTAGCCAAGCTGTGCATTGTACTATTTCGATAGTAAGAACCAAATGTAAGTTGTGCACACCAGAGTTAGAATGTCTTCCTATACCTGTATAAGAAACATCACCCAAAACTGCCATCTGAGGTCAAAAGCAGGTGAAAGAATGCTCTGAATGTCATAGTCCTCTCATGCTTTTAGTACTGGCTTTCTATTGCCTTGTGTTTCCCTCACTCCCTTTCCTTTTTTCTGTCCCTCTGTTTGTGTATGTCTTGTCTCCCTGTGAATCCCTGGAGGCGTGACTCTCCACCGAGACAGATGATACACGTGTGTCATTATTCAATCAACCACCTACAGTATATATATATTTGTCATCCACCCCTTGCCAGACTGTCAAATAAATTACTGCAGTAGATGGCATTCAGGCTCCTTGTTGAAACTCTAGTTAACTAATTACACGTTGTCTTTGTTCTCCCAACCTCCAGTTTGTGCCAACCAGCAACCAGTTAACCCCGATCTTTTACAATCTATCCTCGGCTTTGACTCTGCCCGCCACTCTCCATCTGAAACTCCAGCATCAGCTACCAACCACCTCCAGTTACACACCCTGCCTGCCACTATCCACCGTCTCCTCCAGCGTCAGCCTCCTGTAGTCAATCCACTCTACTGTTCTAGGATCCACCTCTGCAGATAAAACAAACCTGAGAATTAAACTGAGTATTTTGCATTTGCGTCAACTAGTGTTTCGTCTAAAACCTTAACACTAAATGTTTTTCTATTTCATAAATGTTTCACACACATATCTTAAAGTCCTGCTGTACTGACTCTTATAATGCAATCCTCACCTGTGCAGTAAACAGCCTAACTACCTCCCTCACATTTCACTTTGCTAAGGTCTTGTGCTCCCTGGATGCGCGTGTTTGTGTGTCAGGGTAAGCATTGTGCAATAGCAGGCAGCCAGCTGTCAACAGGGTGGAGTTAAAAGGCCTGGGGGATTTGAACACTCCCGTCCTGCCAAGCTCACTGTCTGCCAGGACAATGGGATGTTTCCCTCTCTTCCACCATCCCTCTCTCCCCACCGTTGCTAAAATCTCAGCAGACAGGAAAGCTCCTCCTACTGCTCCTCCACTTCTGTCAGCGTGTGTCCATTCTCTCCCTTTATCTCTCTCTGCCTCTATCGGCCATTATCTCACCTTCTCTATTCTCTCCATCGAGGAGAATCCACCCACCTCCCCTCCTGCAGAGCAACCCCACTGCCATCAATCAACTCCTATTCTAAGGGGAGATTGGTATCACCACCTCCTTCCTTTCTCTCTTCACTGTCTACTCCATCCAGCCTTTACACTTTTCCCTCTCCTTTATCTTCCCCTCCTGTTCTATCTTCTCTTTCTTCCTCTCTAACGTTGTCTTCCTCTAAGGCCCTCGGTCTTTAATCTCTATTGTCTTCAACGTCAAGCAAACAGTTTATGTTTTGGCCTACACGCCCCTGATTAAAATGCATTATGTGAGTAAACACAGCTCACAGATTGTAAAAGTAGATGTGGTACACCAGCCTACTCCTCTTAGGTTGCAAGTTTGTCACTCCCACACAAGGCCCTTTTACGCTGTGTTTGTACTTGGAGTGGAAATACTGTTAAAAACAAATTAACAACAGTTGACAAACCATTGAACAAGGCACTAAATTACAACGTTGTATACTGAGGAAGGTGTCTAGTTGTCTTTAGTAAGTGTAGTAGTAAAGATTTAACAATATGCTTTTTTGTTTTCGAGCAAATCAAACTTACCTTGTCAATGTAGTCAATAAATGCTGTAAATACAAATATGCCACCGGAGTCATTTGTTCAGATCTTGGAGTTTAAGAAGCTAGAGCTCATCACTTGTTTGATTAGCTCATGCTTTTAGGACTTGGAAAGTGTCGGTAACTGCAGGTAAGATAAGTTTTCAAGTAGTTGTCAGACAAATAAAAGACCCCAGACTGAAATGCTTTCAGGTTTAAATGTATATATTGAATCATCTGGGCCTAAAATTTGACAAAAAAACATCAAAGGAAGAGCTGAAGCCTTTTTGAGGATTTCCCCTGCAAATATTGCATCCTGCAGGACAATCTAAACTAACAGCATCTCCACAATGACTCGGCTTTGTCTTTCTGTAAAAGACAAATACACTCTTCCACCCTGGAGAGCTCTCAGACATGGCCCCCGTCTATCTCAGTGACAGCTAAATGGCTTTTTAATTAAAGGAGAATTAGTCCGGTTAAACTGTAATTTAATGCAAATATGAAGTCGTAATGACAGTCAGTGAATCATCAATGAAGACGAGGCAGCTGAACAAAAGCCATGTAATTCATCCAGAGACTCTCTAATGTTCCGTTTCACACCAGATAAGTCCTAAAGACGAGACTGGATTTACGGCCACAGCAAATTCTCTGGGAACACTGGAGTAATCCACCAGCTCTATAGACAAAGTAATAACTTACCAGACTGTCTGGCACAGACAAGTATAGAAATATTTAATGTGAATGTACAATGAATTGATTCAAGTTTAATCAGACAAAATGATAACATGACTATTTCTCTCTCTCTATTTATGATGATGGTGATTACAGCTGTCAGTTCTCCCATAAGTCTGATCACATCAAAAAGGTTGACTAACATCACTGCAGTTATACATGCGGCTATTATGTCTAATGACTCATGTCCAACGTAGGAGGTAATGCCTTTAGCCAGCTTGCTTTTGCACATCTTCAGCATGTTTTCAGCAGCTCACAATTGTGAAAAGTTTAATTTTTTAGTCATCTTATTATACTATATGAAATGAATCCATGCTATAGTGTTAACACAATTCCAGCAACATGCAAAAGATCCTGGGTTTGATTCTGGACAAGCTACAAACCCAGTAGTGTTAGCCACAAGTCTGGGAGGGTTGTATCAGAAAGGGCATCAATGCCAAATCAAACACAATACCTTAAAATACCTCTTTCTTCTTCTTCTTCTTCTTTTTTTTTAAAATTTACCATACAAAAGCTCTGTCTGCGTGTTTATTTCTTTATCCAAGAACTCCCACTACACCGTCAGAACTTGAGCAACTAAACATGGCACACAGGTACAGCCAAAGGTTCTTATCTGTAACAGAAATTATGATGTCAGCATGTTTCCTAGCACCCACCTGACAATGGACTAAAATGAACCTTTATGAACTTACAGCATAACATAAATCATTATGTTATTTTTATTTCACAAAATTAATATCTCATTTATATTCAGAAAGGATTAATTATATAAAACTTGGATTATGCATAATATATTATGATGCCATCATACTGCCTGGTAATCACCTAGCAACAAGCTCAAATTACCTGTACCTTTCTACCGAGAGTTTATGCCCCTACCACACAATATGAAAGCAACCAATCATTTTAATTTTATAACAATAACAACTAATTTATGCCCAAAAAAGCTGAACCATGCGTGCCTGGCAACCTCCTAGCAATGGGAGGAAATTACTCTTTTTACCAGTTTTTCAAATTAAGTATACTGTATGAACGTCAAACACTGCTGTAGCATTATGTATATACTAGTCATTGTAACATTACCCTGCCATTATCAGATTGTCTATAAACCAGGCTGCCCTTCATGATGTAGTTTGTGCACCTGCACACATCCAAATTTCTCTGGTCACATCTTTTAGATAGTGGATTGATTTTCATCACACCCACCTTTCTAGATGAATGACTAAAATGTGTTGTGCAGTAAAGTGAGCTCAAGTCTTTAACGTTATCATTGGTCTGTTAATAAATTCACTGGAATGCATTTTATATTTTCATTTCTAACTCATAAACATTTGTGCCATCTGCCTGTGAAGTTAAAGACGGAAGGTGTTAATCTGATTGTCAAAGCACACGGTGTGACGATCGTGCTTAAAACCCTTTTTTTTTCTGGTGTACTCACGTGTACAAGCCATAGTTGGAGGATCTTTCTCAGCCCTGAAGAAGCCTTTCTCACAGCGGCAGATAGCAGATGCTTCTCCATAGCTGAAACTATGCGGAGGGCACTTTGAACATTTAATGTTTCCAGCATATGCCTTGTAGAAGCCTGGACGACATGCTGAGGATGACAGACACACAATGTGGCAGTCTGTAAGTGCACAGCCAGACCTTCATATAGACGTACAGGTAGAAATATTTCATGCAAACATCACATAGCTCGATAATATTATGCAAAGAAAGAGGCCCTGAAGGGAGACAGTTTATGCTGCAATCCATCAGAAATTCGGACTTTAAATAGATTCATGAAACTCATGTTTTCTATTTAAACAGTGAAACAGGGAGACCATCTGCTTTGGGTTTAGGAATATTTACTCAAAGTATTAAAAAGTATGATTTTTTATTTTCCACAAAAACAAAGATAGAAAGAAACATTGAAATAACACAAAAATTCCCACGTTTTTGTTTCCTTTTCGGAATAACAAAAATGGATTAAAACCGAGGGTATTGATTATCAAAACATAATACCAACTTTAGTTTTATTTAATTCATTTAATTCCCAATAAATAATTCAAGCTTAGGGAAAGGTGATGAAACAAAAGCTCTTCGAGGGGAAAATAGTCAGTTGTATCACCTGTCACACAACTCACAGCTGTTTAGTTTTGAATTTCCAATGGCTTCAATCAAAACACAGAAATGTCTTGAAGCTAGAAAGGAACCACAGTTGTACTAAAACCAATAAATGTGTGATAGCTGTGCAAAAACTTTTCTGAATATTTAGCCACCAAAAACACATGGAAACAACAGAATACAACAACTGTTAATATTTTTTGTTAAGCACTGGCTTAATTTGTGAAGACAGAACACAAGAGAGCAGTTTATCTCTGCAGTTTTAACATCTGGTGTCTTTGGTGAATTAGGGTCTTGCAAAATTGTCCTATTTTATTTCAAACCACAATCTCTTCTTAAACTTAAGTGCATCTGTTAAAACATGAATAAATGTACACACACACAAGTGAAAATGAACAAACTACATCTATTGACAGGTCAGCTCTGTCTTCTGGTTTCACGTGGATCAAGAAGCTCAGTCCACAGGGTCAAAGTCCAGCGCCTGAGTCACATCCATCACAGCCTTCTCCCTATATGGGCTTTGTTGGTCTTTATTCTAACTCATCTGACTTTCTAAGGCTTTTCTGAAACACATAAGGATTTTTTTTCCATTGCCAAATAAATACTGTTCCTTATATCACAGCAGACTAAGCAGTACAAAGAACAAAGAAGCAAATCTACTGATAAATCTTTTACTCCATTTAACGTTGCCTTGAACAATTTTCAAAAGATTATGACGATTATAAGAAATCATGTCCAATAGGTCTTTTTTGACAGAAGGCATTTTGACATGCCACTGTTACAGGGTTTAAATAGTGTGATTACTGAATACCTGAATTCCATTTGGCTGTTTCCTTTTGACTTATTGTTAATGCTGACTCACTTTGACATTGTCAGGGCTTACTCAGAACTTTCAATAGAAAAGAGCCATAACTAAGTCGGCAGTGAAATTAGTGTTTTTTCCTACCATGACAGTTCAAAATGTCTGATGCAGTGAAAAAGAAATATTTAGAATATCATAAACAGCAACTGAGCAGATGAAATGTGTGTTAATATTTTATAAGCCATTTATTTACACCAACAAGTAAAAACTTTTTTAAAATGCAACATAGAACCGCACACTAGAGATATGTAAAAAACCCCAAAAACAAACAAACTCCTCCCAAAGCAAAGCTTTATTGTGAGCCAAGGAGTCATTCACAGGAGGTCAGTGAGTGTGCCAAACATTCCAGGTATGAGGGAGGTAAAAAACACAAAAAACAGGCAAGAAGTGACACATGAGGAAACTAATGAAAAAACATCCAAACAAGAGGTACAGGAATGACTTGAAAGCTTAACTGCTGTGAGTAAAAAGCCAATCTGTTAAGGAACAAAGAGAAGCAGGGGGGGTGTACATACTCACAGTGATGATTGATTGGATGATTGAACTCAGGTGAGAATAATCGGAGCGGAGCACGTAATCACAGGGGTGGGAAATGAACCAAAGTCTGTCAGGAAAACTCAACGGAGTGAAACGAACAGAGGTCTTTCCAAAATAAAATTACATTGTTTTGCATTATATTAAGCTATTCTGGAAGCACTTAGAGTTAATTAAGCTACTTGCTGAAATTTTGTAGATATGCTTGTAAAATTCAGGGAAAGACTTGAAGGATATAAATAAAATACGGCTTGCATTTAGGGGCGGAGTAGTTTGGTATGTATGTATGGATTAATAAAAAAAGGAACATATCTGTTAGATCAGACATGTGCTGTGCAGACATGGCTTAAAGCAGCGATTTGCTATACCAACTATACAGTTGTTGTTGTAAAACGAGTCTGCTCTAGTTATAATCCAGCACCAACTGCTGGACTTATTCCAGAAGCTCAAGAAAATTCTCATTTTCATGCTACAGGAGCGAGAAAACGGAATCTTTCATTTTCAAAAAACATTTTCTAAAATAAATTGAAGGATTTGAAACCACCAGCACAGGTTAGATTGATAGTAAAGACCTTAAGTCTAAATAAATGTAGTAGTAAAAATTAAACAATACAGTTACTTCCCTTCTTTAATATTTAAAATCACAGGCAACTAGCTGAAATAGAAAGGCTTATGAGAGTCTTAGCCCTAAGGGATTCACTAAAGCTTTCTTTTAATAGTAGTATTTCCAATCTTCAAAGCACTTCCATGTCAAAGAAACACACAAACTCTTGTCTGGAGAGACTTCCATTGCTGCTAGTTTTCACATTGATTTAACAAGGTAACATAACGTGAGCCATTTGAAAAGATTCACCTTGAAGCACTGAGAGCCTCTGTGTCTCTCCATTGCTGCTTGTGATAAATGGAGCTGTAGGGAGGGCAAGGAAATGCCCGAAACCACAACTGTGCTGATCAAATGGGGACAATTAGGACAGAGACAAAGAGGTTAACACGCACACAGGGAACACAGCGCACACTGCCAGGGCTAATAGTAATGTTTTTAGAGTAGTCTCATTTTTGTTCAATGAAGGAGTATTTTTTTAAATCGAATTTATCCTTCCTTTCATTTGAAACATTTTCTTTTTTTATTCATCATCATTCCTCCTAGAGAATAAGAACAAAAGGTTTACATTTAGTTTAAAGCTGTTTTAGTCGAGCTATTCAAACTTTTATTCGTCTTCAAAACTCTATTTAATGTTGACTCACACACACACACACACACACACACACACACACACACACACACACACACACACACACACACACGTATGCAGCAAATAAACACACAGAAGCTATCTGTATGAATATGATAAGTGGCATCCCCTATGGCATACCAAGGCTGCCTTTATCATTAACCTCTGATACTGACATGTCCTTGAGTCAAAAACCGTCAGTCAACTGCCCCACCCTGCAAGACCCCGCTTTAGACTCTGTCAACCTAATGACGCCTCTCTATGACCTTCGCTGAACTGAGGCGATGTTCCTTTTCGAACCCCGCAGTTTCCTGCTGCAGTATGACCAGCCAGGCTCTTTGCCAAGGCCACAGTGGCACTGTACAGGGGTTGACCATGTGTCACTCGAGGATGGACATGCCCGGTGGCCAGGACGTAAGCATTCATGTGTTGGGATGAACACACACAAACACATGCAACAGCTGAAGTGGCAGGAGCAGCATGTCGAAGTCAACTGGACAGCTGGTCAAATGTGAAAAACATGTGAACATTTTGGCCGGAGAAAGAAAAGCTGCATTATGTCCAGTGCCACTGCTGATCCATCCGTCAAGGACGCCCATTTCCACTTTATATAAAAGCATGAAAGTGTATATGTGATAGCACCAGTGCAGTAAACAGTAAACCTCTCATACTGCCCTCATGACATGCAACACACAGATTTGAAAAAAAAAAAAGGCTTTTGACATAGTCAGTACTTTAGACTGCTGAATTTCTGGTAACTAGGTAGGAGAACTAAGACAAAATAGCAGCAGGGGAAGTAGACAGCCGAGCAAGACTGAGTGTGCATGAGTGTAATGTTTCTGTGTGCGTTACTACAATGAATCCCTTTTACAAATGTTTCATAGGTTGTATAAATTCCACTATTTCACACTGAAAAAAAGAATAAAAGTCTGGGTATTACTTTCTGGGAAGCACAACTAACTGTACTAACAAATGCACGTGCACATCTGTGAATAACAGGCGCATATTACACAGTAAGAATGCAATTATATGTTTTGATAATGATACAGGTGATTTATAGCAATATTGTTGTCGCTACCATTTCAAATATTAAAAGTACAGTTAAAAATCAGTACAAAATAAATTAACATAGATTTTCAAAACTCATTTCTAAAGAATAAAGTTACGTTTAGACTATCAATGCGTCTCCTATAATCATAATAACCCGACCTCCTGTCTAAAGTGTCTCAGGAGAGAACATAATGAAAATTTATATCTGCTCATTACATTGCGGTAAAATAGGGGTTTCATATAAGTTATTGATATTTGCTAAAACAGTGTCCAATACTTGTGTATGTATGGATCTGAATGTTGTGTATTGCAAATACTGTGATATAAGCCCATGTTAAATACATAAACTATATATTTGAAATCTCAGAGAAAGCACATTCAGATCTAGCAAACGAGAAACTTAGCAGACATTACACAAGTTTACTATTTTCCTACCTTAACACACATGCTTGTTGAGCTGACTTTGTTTTCTGTCATAAAAATGTAAGTCCATGTCCTACCCATCTCAATACATGTCCATCTTTCAGACCCAGTGGAGTGGATTTCCCAATCTTGTAAAATATGTAATTATACATGTCATGCCTTATATCTATGAATTATGTTTTACTTTTAATGTCTTATTAAGCTGATGCTTAAGCAGGAAATCTTCACCCAAAATACTTCAGAAGAAAAAAACCAAACGTGTTAAGATTTTCTTCCATTTGACCAAACAGTACACTTCATAAGCAAGTAAATTATAGCTGAGCGAGGGGGGGAGTGGTTGCGAGAATAGGATGCTGCTGACCGACTGCCCTTTGGGTCTCCAAACTAATT